AGGAGGAGGAGGAGGAGGAGGAAGAAGAGGATGATGAGGAGGAGGAGGAAGAGGAGGAGGAGGAAGAGGAGGACGAGGAGCCGCTTCTGAAGTCTGTTAGGCTTACTCAACACCTCGGCGCGGTCTATCGCAACGGCGATGCGACCAGTGCTTGTCTTGTCGCAGGCGACAAGATGGTATGGGCCCTCCGGCACTCGCATATACATGAGCTATACTGATTGGACGATTACAGATTGTTGGCACGCATAATGGCAATATCGTAAGTTACGGCGACTCAGCTTCCTCAGCCTTTAATGCTAACTAGCGACCTAGCACGTTATCCAACTGCCTGGCTTCAATACTTTGCGGGTATACCATGCGCACTCGGCTTCCGTCACCGCCATATCGATATCTCCATTTCCCCCTCCTCTTCCAGATGAGAGGGCCGAGGTGCTTCAGCGAACGCAAACCGGATCATCTGGACCACCTGCGAGGCCATCAGATATTTCTCCCTCAGCGGCGTCAAAACGGTTGAGAGAGGCTCCCCAAGTACCCAGAACCCCTTCAAACGACATATATATTGCTACAGCGTCAATGGATGGCAACGTTTGCATCCAGTCTCTAATAGACATGAAAGATGTTCAGCTTCGAAACTTTGCTAGGCCCGTGCAAGCGGTCGCTTTGTCACCAGATTATAAATCGGATCGTACATATCTATCTGGCGGACGAGCAGGGCAGCTCATTCTTACAGTAGGAGGTGGCCCTGGTCGCAGTACCTCAAATACAGTCGGTACGGCAGCTGCTGTTGCATCCGATTGGCTTTCCACTATAGGAGTCAAGAACAGCGGTGGAAAAGACACGGTGTTGCATTCCGGGGAGGGAATTATCAACGCTATTAAATGGTCTCTATCAGGGAAATATGTCGCCTGGATCAACGAGCATGGTACCAAGATCATGAGATCCAAGCTTCATCTCGATAGTACAGAGATTGAAGACGCCTGGAAGAGGATCGGTCATGTTGATAGGCCACACACCACCCAATGGGAAACCATGGCGGGAGTTTGGAAAGGTCGGGCTGAATGGATTGATGAGAAGTCGGTCGAAAGTGACGAGTCAGAGGTCAGCCCTCACGATCCGACCATTTCTTCATCTGCTTCGTCCACCACAAAAACCTTTGAAAGACTACTTGTAGGCTGGGGAGGAACAATGTGGATCATTCATGTTCACCCTGGCGGGATAGGTTCTGGTAAGCACGCTGGTGAGAAGACCATTGCACGAGCTGAAATTGCCAAGATGTAAGTGGCTCTCTTGTTTCCCTGTAATTTGATAATAACACCGGGGATAGTGCTGACAATTCCCCAGCCTTCACATAGATTGTATCATCTCTGGAATTTCCCTATACGCTCAGAATCAACTGCTGGTATTAGCATACTGCTCTCCTGAAGATGAAGATGATGCTGCAGAGGATGACACATCTGGTCCATCCCATGCGCGGGATTCGCCCAAGAAGCACAAGTCTAAGCATTCTACATCATCTGCGGAAAACGAGCAACACCATGGCCAACGACAGCGGTTAAATGCCCTACCTCCAGAGCTGAGGCTAATTGATCTCAAATCTCAAGCAGAAGTAGATCGACACACTCTCACTATTAATCGTGTTGACAGGCTATCTGCTGCTGACTACCATATGTGTCTCCTACCTGCGCAAAATGCTGCTTCAGTAGTGGCCTCAACAAAGGGTGCATTAGAAGCACTTGCCGGCATTGGATCAGAGATGTGGAATGTTGCGATTAACCCAAAATCGCTCTTCAGCTCAGGAGCTAGTATCTTGAGTAGGGAGAGCGAAGATGGCGCATCTAAAGCCGGAAGTATAGCAGGGACCATCCGGTCAAGCTATATTAGAGCTAGAGTGCCAACGGTACACCCTGCGCTCTCCAAGCCAGGAGTCAAAATATTCATCCATAGTCCTTACGACAGCATCCTGGCTACCAAACGAGACCTTTCTGATCACCTCACGTGGCTAGTGGAACGCGAGCAGTACCAAGAAGCATGGGAACTTCTTGACGAGAACCCTGAGATTTTCGCGGAGTCACTTGATGGCGTTGCAGACCCAGCGGCGCCTGCTACGCCGTCCAAATATCAAGGCGGGGCCGACGACTTCTTTGATGATGAGTCTGTGGCAGACACTGTCCAGAGGAATATGTATTCGGCTGTGGAAAAGGAGAAGAGAAGAGTTGGTGAGCTATGGATCCGGGAAGTGATTGACGATGGCGACTGGGAATTGGCTGGTCAAATCTGTGGCAAGGTTCTCACGACTCCTGATCGTTGGGAAAAGTGGGTGTGGACTTTTGCAGGCGCCAATAAATTTGACGAAATCACCAAGCACATGCCAACAAAACCGATGAAGCCGCCGATACCGACGACCATATATGAGGTGCTTTTGGGGCATTATATACAGAACAACAAGCCTCGATTCCGAGAGCTGCTAGATATCTGGTCGACCGACCTCTTTGACATACCGGCGATCACAACGACCCTTGAAAACCAACTCAAGTATCGTGATGTTCGTGAAAATAGTGTTGAAGATGGCGAAAAGGGCAGAGACTGGAAAATCGTCGTAGAAGGCTTAGCTAAGCTTTACGAAGCTGGTGGTCGCCATCGCGATGCACTGAAATGCTATATTAGGCTTCAGGATGCAGACTCGGCATTCCGCTTGATAGGCGATTTCCATCTGGCAGACGCTGTAGTCGACGATATTCCTGCATTCATTGGGCTACGAGTTTCTCCTGAACGGCTCAAGCATATGACTGAACCTGATCTCGTTGCGGCAACTAGCGAAGCGATTACTCTGCTTGTTGACGAGGCTCAGCACGGTCTCGTACGACCTGAGGTAGTTGTTGAGCAGCTGCAAGCCAGAAATCTTCAGCTCTATCTGTTCTTCTACATGCGCGGGCTGTGGAAAGGTCAAGGAATCGCGGAGCACACTGGTGAAAACCTTGAACGGCTCGTCATGGACAGCCAGTCTCTAGTGGATAACTTTGCGGATTTGGCAGTTCGTCTATTTGCCACATTTGACAGGCCACTTCTTATGGAATTTCTGAAGACTTCGACTTCATACGGATTTGAAAAGGTAAGATTGATTGGACCCTCCCCTCTCCCTCTCTCTTGATGACTGCTTACACAGCACGTACCCGTATCTAGGCCGTTCAAGAGTGTGAGCAATGTTCATACTATGACGAATTAGTATATCTGTATTCCAAGACAGGGCAAATGAAGCGCGCGCTGTATCTCATCATTGACCGATTAAACGATGTCAACAAAGCAATTGATTTCGCGAAAGAGCAGGATGATCCTGACTTGTGGGAAGATCTGCTTAACTACAGCATGGATAAACCTAGTTTCATTCGAGCCCTTCTGGAGCAAGTTGGCACAACCATAAATCCAATAACATTGGTCCGGCGAATTCCCGAGGGTCTTGAGATCCAAGGTCTAAGAGAAGGGCTTATTCATATGATGAAGGAGCATGAGCTACAGCACAGCATTAGCTGGGGTGTAGCGACGGTGCTACGAAGTGAAGTGGCAACGGCTCAAAACGAACTTCGAACAGGGCAACGCAAGGGTATCAAATTCGAAGTCGTGGCGGAAGAAGATGCTGCAGAGAAGGAGAAGAAGAAGAAAGAAGGCGAGGAGGATACGGCACCGAAACCTGGCCAGTGTGCGAAATGCCTCGAGACATTCACCGAATACGAGATGGAGGCTTTGATTGGCTTTGTGTGCGGACACGCATTCCACGTGAGCCATCTGCTTGAGATGTTGCATAATGGCAAGAGGGCCGATGTCGATCTGGGGCCTGGACCGGAAGAAGGTGGGCGATACTCAGTCGCAATGAAAGTTATGAAGGCGAGGCTGTTGAGAGACAGGGTGAGAGGAGGCTGTCCAATCTGCCACCCAGCTGAAGCGTAGATAATTATATATGCGTATATTGGGCGTTCTATCGTTTTATATATCCGGGAGATTTTTTTCATAGCCCATTGCGACAGTACCTATATTAGATCTAGTTAGTATTTGATACATTCTATTGTACCTGGATCGGAGCACAAGTAGTCTTGTCATATATGTTAGGTGTCCATTTTATCTTATTGCCTTATGTACTTCTAATGTACAAATGAAAGAATTAAAGCAACTGTATGCCTATTTGCCTATCAAGTGGCGATGTCATGAAATTTTCCCAAACGTACAAATCAAATCCAGGTATGTGACCTCCTAACCTGTCCTAAATATCAACCTCATCGAAACATGCAGATGTTGGTGCTAACTGAAAGTCCCGAGCATCATACGCAGCACTATCTAAATGGCTGATTAGATGAAATAAGCCATGATCATGACCGCAGTTCCAAGGGCAACATTGGAGATTGCCTTGATGGCGGCTCCGGCGCTGGTGCGATCCGGGGCAGAGGGAGCAGTCATGCTGCCAGAGGGGCTATCATTGGAGGAGGTAGCAGTCGAGTTGACATGCTGCATGCCCGTGGTAGATCCCGAAGCAGAGCTCGAGGCTGAAACGGCGCCACTAGTGGTAACGGCAGATCCAGTAGTAGCAAGAATAGAGCTGGTCTGGAGAGTTGGGTTGCCAAGGCTATCAGTGGTCGAAATGACAGTGGCAGCTGTCTCAACGGTGGGCTGAGGAGCACCAGGGGAGACCTCAGTCATGGCCGTAGTTGGGACAGGCTCGCCGGGAACAATCGTCGCCTCGACCACTTGGGTAGCGGAAGCAGCTTCAATAGTCGACTCGATGGCAGGAGCAGAGTAACCGGCAGAAGGAGACTCAGGGGCAACAGCAGTGGTAGCGGTGGCCAGAGACACGTGGCACTGGGTGCTATCGATGACAGTGCAGTAGTTCATAGAGTACATGAGGATGCCTAGGTAGACAGCGTTAGTGACTTGAGAATGTCACATCAGGTGAGGAGGAGGGACAAACCGTTGGAAGTGGTGGAGCCAATCTGCTGAGGCTCAGCAGTAACAGTTGACTGGCAGTTCGCTGGGAAACGGTTAGTTGAATGGCGATGATTTGTTGGACAGAGGATTTCTGCAGCTCTTGAGAAACACTCACAGTAGGGAGTAATGGCAAACGCGCCAGACAGGAGGAGGCTTACGAGAGCCATGGTCATCTTGGGGCCAGCCATTGTGATAGCGTTGGATGACCAGATGATAATTATTGCGGGTTAAGAGCTGTATGATACTGATATACAATCTAAGAGAAGCCGATTAGTGATGTGAGAAAAACAATGCGATGGTGGTTGAGCAGGATTTGCAGGAGTTGCAGGAGTTGCAGCTTGCAATGCTGAGCAGCAAGAGGAAGATATTGCTGATAAGGGATCAAGAATGCCAACGTATCATATAATATGATGCTTCAGATGTAGAATAATGCAGGAGATCTCGTACCTTGAATATTGTAGGCGTTGTTCGGATCGCAGAGGTGACTGTGTGATGACGATGAAGAAGGAGAAGAAGGAAGGAGAAGGAAGGGGATACAGGACGAGCGTAAATAAACGCGGCCCCACTATTTCACTTGGCAATAAGATCAGTAAAACGCGTCTCTGAATGTATTTTGTTTGCTTTCTTTTTCTCTGTTTGTTTTTGTGCGTTTGTAGAGGTGGGAATTGAATAGGGGCATTTGGAAGTGACAGCGGCGGGCAGCTGGCAGCCGGCAGCACCCTGAATCAGTGCTACTAGAATGACGGTTGCTGAGGGGATTAGATGCTACAGTGAATAAGATGTCGATTTTCAGGGCCTATGGAAAAGAAAAGGAGCGGCCTTTCATTCTAATATGGGACAGAGTGTTTGATAGGCTGCTTCAAGCATGCTTGAAGGTGGCCAAAAGGGAGGCTATCGTTGGAGACGATTAGCGGTTCGTGACAGGTTAAATTGACATGTGCTGGTGTTCGATACGTAATCTAGAGTACAGAGAATACCAAACGGGCACAATCTGTCGTGATTGATTTGTTTGCTACCATATATTTTGTTTGCTGTTTTACTGCAGAGTGCCCTGCCTGTGCGTGTTCACTTCTTCCAGCTACCTACTAAGGTATATCCAAGAAACAACAGCACTGCCACATCTCTAGCATATAAACCAATTGATCACTATGCGTCGATGGCTTCTTTGGCTGAACGTTTATACGAACCACGAGATATCTCCATTGTTGTGACAACAGGTAAATCGAATAAGCAGTACCCGAGCCGTGGTACCACCGGCTGACAAAACAGCAATTCATGTACATGTCACGTTGCTCAACCCAAACCCTTTTTCTAGAACAGAAGCCATCTATCTCACCACCGTCTTCTTAGAACAGCACTCTATTGGCGCCTCTTTTATCCCTCCTATTCCTTTTCTTCTCTTTTACGTGTATTTACGCACTTGCCTCCAAGTTTTTTTTTATCTTGGGGTAAAAGGTACCGGTCATAGAGCATAGGCTGCCTGCAGACCAGGAACAGCTGAGAAAAGCCAGGGCTCTTCCCCCATTGGGGGAGGGCTGGTGAATTAACTTCTGCCATTGCGCAGCGGGCGCAATTAGTTTCATACTTTGTGTCTCTTATATTAATTGATTTATTAAAAGAATAAATCAAAACAAGCTTCCGTCCTGCCACCGACCGCGTATTGTCGGCCGCTGATTTATGCCGAGACCTGTTATCTCCATTGCGCCGGCCACCAACACAGTTGTGCAGTATCGGTCTCTCTGCGGGCATTTGCCCGACTTGTGCGTGAGATGGACCCCAGACTCCAGCGTCGATACTTCAAGCTTTTGGAGCTAGCATCGCCACTAAACCGCTTGACGGCTGCCGGCATTTCTGCTGTCACGGCTCCTCTTCCCCCACACACATGGCCGAGAAGGGAAAGCTGAAGCACCTCCAATCTGCAGAGTAAAACTTGTTTGGCAACGCTTTTGGCTGCAGCAAGCGGACGATCAAAGCCTCGTCCAAGCCCGTCATACCTCTGAGACACGGGCAAGCTTCGATATGGCTTCGGGGCAAGTTGCTGCGGCATGCCAATCCGATTGCCAGCACTTCAAGACGAACATCATGGTGAGATCAAAGAGCATCCATCCCTGCTCTGCCGGCAGACGATGACGGCTCATGGCGGGGTCCCAGAAGCAGAGAAAAGGCCCACGAATGGCCATTGACGCCACGAGCCTCCAAGACAAGACTGGCTCTCCAACCCTCGACCGCCATCCCCAACGCCTCGGCACTCTTAGCTCCAAGACTAGACCTGCCCCAGCTTGATACTGATTTGCCGAAGCTCTGGTGGAGCTCTAGAAGCTGCAATGCTAAATGCTCGATTTGCTCCGTCCACCACCCGCCAGCCGCTTAAGCGACCGTCCCAAAGCATCGACATTCCTGCGAATCAACGCCCTTCACTACTATCGCCCCTCGACCGTGTCCCGAGAGTTCCGGCCTCTAGTCCGGGGTCGAGTCACACGATGCTTCGATACTGGGCCATTGAGATGGCTTCGCGCCTCGCCGGTCGGCGATGAGGAACATGACTGTTGCTCTATATCCGACCCGTCAAGCCATCCCAACGAAATAGTAAGATATAGCCCAACGCAGTAATATACAATGTATCCTAATCCACCCCCCGCTTGGGGTTTGGTCTGTGATGGCTGCATCCAGGAGTCAATCTACTCTCTTCTTAGCTAGACAAGCTCTGCGGCCTTGACACGTTTTTTACCCAAAGGGCTTCGCGAGGAGGGGAAAAGCTCCGTCACAACTCCAATAAACATTCGAGCTATCGGGGCAACGGAAATAGTTTAGAAGAGACAAGGCCGGTATGGGGGGGGAGCTCCAATGGCGCAGAAACAATGGACACGGCACGAGTTGTGTATATAAACAAGCAGTCAACTCAGAAACGCCATCTCTTGCTCTCAACTCTTGCCTACCACACCTCGCAGCTGCTCTTATTAAACAGGCATTGTCCTACTACAAGCTTTATCCTGAAGAACTAGGTTGTGAACAAGACTGAAAGAGACTCTTATTCAGAATGTCTGGTCCTGCTATCGGTTCAGACCCCGCTCAGGGGTATAGCAAAGAGACTCAGGCGCCGCCGCCAATCAACGGGCATCATGGTCAGAATCAAGGTAATCCCGCTGGGATGTCACAGTATCCGAACTACCAATACATCCCGTTTGGCAACGCCCAAGATCCAAATCTTCAAGGTCGACCTCACCAGGCCATGATCTCCCAGGTTTATCAGCCTACTTTGGGCAAGATTGGTAACCCAGGACCTCTTGGCCTGATTGGCTTCGCTTTGACTACATTCGTTCTCGGGCTTTACCAATGTGGTGCTGGGTAAGCTTACTTGAAACTATCTCTTGCCATGAAATATCTGCTAACGAAAGAGAAAGTCTCCCCAACTCCAACCCTCTGGGTACTGTTGGTCCTGACCAAGCCGTCTTTGGCGTTGCCGTATTCTTCGGAGGCATGGCCCAGTTTGTCGCTGGTGTCATGGAATTTGTGCTCGGCAATACTTTCGGTTGCACCCTCCACTGCTCGTACGGGGCTTTCTGGCTTGCTTTTGCCATGTTTCTCGTCCCTACGCTGGGCATTCAGGCCGCTTATAATGGAGACCAGCGCGCCTTTAGCTTTGCTGTCGGCATTTTCCTCATCATATGGTGCTTCCTCACCATCGTCTTCTTCATTGCGGCGCTCAAGACCAACTTCACAATCCTGATGGTGCTTGGCTTGCTTGCGCTCGCTTACTTCTTCCTCAGCATCGCACAGTTCGTGTCGACCGAGCATCTTACGGCGGCAATCCGCTTGAACCGTGCTGGTGGTGCTTTCGCCGTCTTCTGCTCCATGTTTGCATTCTACGGTGGTGCTGCTGGTCTCATGCTCAAGGATACGACATTTGTCACCTTTCCACTCGGAGAGATTCCATATCCCTCGGTCAAGAGGGAGAAGGCGGCGAGAGAACAGGTTTGATTGCAAGAAACACCACAAAAAAAAAAAAAAAAAAAAAAAATTTCAAGACGACTAGTTCGCCTCAGAGTATGCCCATTGAGTTATATCATTTTAGGTTTTCTCAAGCCGCTTTTTACGATTTGACACGAAGTTGAGAGCGAATGATTCTTTGAAGAACCGAGAAAAACACAGAAGACTTTTTAACGTGGTTGATGTATGCTGAATTGGATATTGGTTGACTTTGTCTGCGGACTGATTATGCCCTCGCTTTTGATACCCGCTTGCCTCGTTTCAGCTTTTGACCATTGGGGAATTGGCACTGAAGGTAATGCCTAATGGTAGTGGGAGAAAAGAAATCGGGATATGAAATGGGGGAAAAAAATAAAGTTTCAACAAAGGCCAAGACGAACAGGCCGTGTAAATCCATTATACCCTGAGTAGTTTGTTAAAATTTCTTCATTTTCTTTTCAGTATAATTTACAATGAGACAATCTCATAACTCGCGCTTAATAATACAAATCATAATGATTGCTTCCCACCTTTTGCATTCGCCATATTTGAAGGTGCTGCTGTGTCATCATACAATCTCACAAAGCCTATTTTTCTCCCATCGGTTAGTTCTCATTACTCAAACAAATTGCTCTGCATCTCTTCCACACTTTCCTTGGCTTTTCCCTTTGTCTCCGCAGCAGCTCCCTTTGCTTTGCCCTTCAACTCTTGAGCCTTGCCTGACATCTCTGACATCTTGCCCTCGGCGCGCCCTTTCAGCTCCTGTGCTTTGCCTTTGGCGTGAGCCGCTTCGCCTTCGACCTGGTTGGCGACACCGCTGCTGGAGAGGTCCTCGGCTGTTTGTTTGACTTTATGTGTTGCGGCGGCTGTTTGGATGAGTTAGCCAATGTCAAATTGGAGAAGACCAAAGAATTTTAAAAAAGAAAGGTAGCAGGAGGGAATGAGAAAAGTCTTAACATACAGGCAAGGTTGATTCCATCTACCAGCTTGTCGCTCACAGCTCTGTCAATGTGCTTGAGCTCATCCTTTACCGTCTCGGAAGCGGTTTTCTGAGCAGCTAGCGAGGTGGTAAACGTCCGCGACGATCGGGCCACAGCAATGCGTGATGCGGGTGTCGCAATTGCGACAGTCCTGCTTGCGTTGATGGTGCGAGTAAGAAAAGACATTGTGAATGTTGTATTGTGTGGTTTGTGAAGCTATAAAAGCTGAGATGTTTGTTCAATTGGTTGATGTAATTGATTGATTGATTGATTGATTGAGATGGAAGAGAGGCGAAAATGGTTTGCAGAGAAGAGAAAATGCGGAAGAAAACTGTATTTTTAAACTTACCAGCATTCGCTGTATATTTCAGAAGCTAGAAGCACTGTGAAGAGCTACTTGCTATTGAAGCTTTGGGGCTGGGTGGCACCGGTCGTGATGTCATCGCCACCAGCTACCTCCACCTGAGGAGCAGCGCAATGATGACGCAGATGCGATGCGACGTCCCTTGTAACGTGCTTTTTACCCCAACCAGATTTGAGACCTCTGATGTAAGAGCATACGGGAGTTGTTTTTTCCCCAGCTTTTGATCTTCATGTGTTTTACCGATTGATCGATTGGCTTTTTTTGTGGGTTGAAGCTGGTGAATAGCTCTTTTGGCTGGAATCGAGTGCATCATTGACACGAGCTCAATCGGAAACGGTTCGAACACAATAAACCCTGTTTAATTGCGGAAACATTAAGCTTGTCTAAGTCCAATAACTGGTAATGATTTTCAAGAAATTGTTTCATAATTGCTATGTGATTATACATGTTTTATGTGCCTTTCTTATGCTGATAGAAAGAAAGAATCCCTTTATTTCATTGCCTGCCGTGAAGCTTTTCGATCCACAACCTCATCGCGCTCTCAGCCGTAGCGGGATCGATTCTCTCCGTGGGGCCGAGGCGCATCATCTTGCCGACTAGATACATAAGCTTGCCTTGAAGAAATTTTTGCTCGTCAGCAAACTCCTCCAGTACCTTGTCTTCGCCCTCGGCAGCCGATGCAGCAAGAGCGTTGTATTCTTCCTTGGATATCTCCTTGAACCAGAGATCGTTGGCATTGATGGCCTCTAGAAGGCCCCCTTCAAGTTCCTTCAAGTACACCGCAATGAGCAGCTCTTTTGCGACTTTGCCGGTGATGTGCTTGCGGTAGAGGTGATAGAGGAGATGCGACAAGTCCTCCTCTGGCACTTGGGCGCACTCTCCTAGCTGTGTAAAGGAAAGATCCCCTGACGCTAGTGGCCCGGCTTTGTATGTTGTCAGGCGGCCGAGCTCGTGAAGAATCCAGTTAGCTGCCAGAGTAGAATATGAGGCGACGTCGGGAAGCTCCGCAAGATCTGCATCAGCTTGCAGCTTACCCTCCAACAAAGCGAGGACTCGATAAAAGTACTGCACGCGAGACCCGTTGTCGAGAGTGATGAGTGAAAGAGCATCTTTGGGTGTGAGGCCATAATGCATAACCAGCTTGTCGAGCTCAGTATCGGGCAGAACAGCGAGCGACTGCTGTAGGCTCTGCACAAGGTCATTCCCAATTACAAGAGGCGGCAAATCAGGGTCGGGCATATAACGATAATCAACCTCGCCTTCTTTACCACGCAAACGACGTGTTTCTTTGGAGCCTATGGTCCAGCCACGCGTTTCGCCAGCAATTACGTTGCCTGCTTCCAGTTCTCGAATCTGACGATCACGCTCGGCGATAATAGCATCTTCCACTGCCTTGATGGTGCTCAAATTCTTTATCTCGGTGCGAGTGCCGAGCTTTTTACTCGGATCGTCAGTCCTTCGAACAGACACGTTGACATCAGCTCTAAGACCGCCCGTCTCCATACCAGACACGCAAGAGTCAACCGTATTTAGGAGAAGCTGGATCTTGCGCACAAGCACGGCAGCGGTGCGCGGGTGATGCATCTCCGGCTCGGTGATTATCTCGATCAAGGGTACACCAACACGGTTAAAATCCAGCCAGTGGACGCTCCCCGTCTGTGCAAGGGTCTTGGCTGTGTCTTGCTCGAGCTGGACCTGCTTGATTCCGACAGTGACACTCTCTCCATCCTCGGCAGAGATGCCGTCGCGAGCAAGTAACTTAATGTGTCCTTGTTTAGCAAACGGTTCGTAGAATTGCGTAATCTGGTAGCCCGAGGGCTGGTCCCACCAAAAGTAATGCTTCCTGTCAAACCGGCTGACAGGTTGTATCTCGCAATTAAGGGCCAGTGCTGCTCGAAGAGCCGGAATCAGTGTCTCCTTTTGAAACAAAGGCTGACTGCCTGGCATTGCAACATCAAACAGCGCCACGTGGCTGTTTGGCTCATCATTGAACGAGGTCGTAGCTGGTGAAAAGAGCTTGCGGGAGGTGTTGAGCTGGGCATGGATTTCAATACCGACAGTCAGTTCCCAGCCATCCACGGTCTGTGAATCGCCCTTGGACTTCTTTTTGCCTTGCTTCTTTGCTTGCTTCGCCTGCTCCTTCAGTTTCTTCCGTAAGGGTACATGAGCTGGTTGTGGGATTCCTGCTACGACCGGCTCAGTTTGTGTGTGTAAGTGCCGGAGAGCATAGGGATGGCGTAGTGATGACCAGATAGGCACTGTCCGTGAAGATAGTCGCCGGCCATTGACACATCCCCGGTGTGATAAATGACCCTCAAGCAGATATCTGCTGAGCTCACTAGCAGATCTGCGGCTCATTCTGCCTTCAAGTTGGACGAACGATACTGCGTTAAGATTGGTGTCGACTTCGTGAATAGCTTTGGATAAGAGCGAACTGTAGCTAAAAGACAAGACAAGCAAGTCTCATCAAGTGACAAATTAGTGGAAATGGCGTTTGGATCGTGGGCTACGGCCCGGCAGCCCGAGGGGTATCTTGTCGTCGCCTAGCCAGCCAACCGGGAGAATGATGCGAGCCCGATGCACTTTGCCGGTCCCAGGCGTGCCGCAATTGGCGTAGTTTGCTCTGCCCTCTGCTGTCGTGTAGTGCCACGTTAGTCTCTTGTCGCAATTGAACCAATGTGTCGCGGACGCAGAAGCTGAGCGTGGCCACTGCGAAGATGTCGCTCTATCAAAAACCATGACCAGGTGGAGGAGAGATCAGATACGGCGTGCAGCGGTCACTTTTGCGCCCCGGCCCGCTAGAAAACCCGACAGGTCGGAAACCCACTTGCGCCTCAGCCCAGCCAACTCAATCAATCACCGTCCGAAGAGATATGCCGGTATAGTTCATGTATATTTTAGCATTTATTTTCTCATCTCTGCTGAATCTCATTACAAATATGGCACCAAAAATGACAAGAAAACACCACATATCCCCTCGTCTAAGCCACTGACAGCCTGTCACCCCGCCCATTAGCCAGCGAATAGTCACCGAGAGCCCGCAGAGGTCCTGTTCCACAACGCCGGTGGTTTGCCTTGTAAACTGAGCTTCTCTGCGGCAGAAGATGCAAGGATTCCCTGGTGGGCACCAATTTGTGTTGCGTCAGCCACAAGAGGAGAGACTATTGGCCTCTCTCTCAAGGCTTTCTTCTCGGCCATGCGCCTTCTTGCCATACCACCCTGAATTCGAGGCAGCCAATCCCGGGGCGAGCTGACACAAGTGTGTGAATACTATTGTACGCACGATTGGGCCTAGCAGGGCCGTTTATGACTATTTTACAGAGCTTGTCCCCCGACGAAAATGAATGCTTTTTTCTTTCTGATTCCTTTTGCTTGGTGTTAGTCACCATCGCCATTCATATCATGCCACAGCACAGTGACCTCACTGATACCCTTTTCAATGTCAATGGAACTAGACTGGCATTAGCTCTATAAGAGTACCATTTTAGCAGCCACTGTCCGATTCAGTTGAACGTCTTTTGATGGTCTTGTTCTCGCAAGAGCTTCGTCTGTGGTCCCGCAATTCCTCGGATATCCTGAAGTGGGAACTGCTCACCACAACTGAGCATCAATAACCTACCCAGCTCTCGTTGCCTGGAATACTCGCAATACAACTTCTTGAGAAGCATCAGCAGCGATCTGATTGACTTGATTTGATAATTTTGTATTCTTCACAGCACTCAGGAATGCAGTCTCCAGCTGAGAATTAAGTCAATCGCTTGTACCTGTTCCCCGCGCGATTGCAAGGCAGAACTGCCACAGCTTATTGCAACAAAGAAATTAACCGTATAAGTGACTACACTGCAATCTCAAAAATAATCAGCATGTCCGCTGAGGCAGAACCAGGGCCCTCGGATTCATTCAAGGCGGATAAAGGGAAAGGAGTCGCTACGCACTCTCGGCATGTCAGCATTGACGAGATTCCACACTCAGCTGGACGTTTGAGAGCCTCCAGCTCACCCTTTACTGCATCGCCGCTGCCAAGCAGATGGCCTACGTCGGATACCGCTTCGAAATATCCACCGCCTGATGAGAGCAAATTGTCGGAAACTGGTTATTTGCATCAGTCTTCCCAGTCATTTTCATCTACCAAAGCAAATAATCATCAACCTCCAGCTACACCTATAGAAGCATCATCGTCATCATCGGCAAAAGGTAACAAAGAGGTGGGATCACCCAACACACATCCAGAAGAAGCAAACGAGACACCTCATGTCAAAGAGAAGCCAAGAATTGATCATCGTAGACGCTTAAGTTCAAAAAGCCACGCCAGTCCCAGGCAGTCATCAAACCATTTGGACCATCCTGGGCAGAGTCCTGAAGACCCAATCAGAAGTATGCTATCTTGCTATCTTTTGTATTTTTCATCTTACAATTAAAGCTGACATTACACAACAGCCCCAGGCCACCGTCATTCATTTAATGAGAGACCCTCGATGCCCCCTGAAATGCCCAATTATAACCCCATTAACACTCAAGGTCAACCACATCAACCCTTCTCGGGAAATTTCCATAATGGAGAGTATGGCCCTCAAGTCATCCCGTTTCCTGCTCCAGATCCCCCGCAGCCGGTGTTTCTTCCATCGCCCATGCAGGCTTCATTCCCTCCACAGTTCCCTATGCCAAACTACCAAGTGCCGGGACTGCCACTTAGCGGTTATGAGCTCTTGGTAGCAAGGTTGACGGGCAACATGACGGGAAAGAAACTTGCACCCATATATCGACGATTTGAAGCCCTTCATCACCGGCTACTGCTATCGATGCAAGATGAGCTCATGGAGATGGAAGAACAGCTGCGCAATCTTGATGCAGCAGATACCCAGCTCCGGAAACACCACGGAGGGATACACCCAGCATCCCGGCGATTGGAGAGCAATAGCGCAACGGACACTATCTGGAGGAGGAAGGACCTTATTAAAAACATTGCTGGAAAACTATACCAATACAGTGTGTAATGCCTCTCTTGTATATATATATCTTGGGCTGCATCTAACATCGAAGCAGATCAGGTCATCACCTCCTTCAACGCTACTTACGGCTTACCCGAGCCACACCTTCAAGAAGTCCTCGCCTATCAATCTTACCTCAGAGATTTCACTCCTATAGTAGAGGGCGAGTCCCAGTACCTAGACTTTGCAGGAGACCTCGTCCATCTGGGACGGCGCAAACGGCGGCCGAACAGCAATCCTTCAGACGAACCAGTCAGCCCGATCTCTCAGTTCGCCAGCCCGATTTCTCAATTCGCCAGCGTGCTTGGGTTTTCTCCACCGCCTAGCAGTCAAATCTCCAACGCCAGTAGCTCGATCCATGCCGCAGAAAGCAATTCAAAGCTGGCTCTAAATCGTCTAGCCATAGCTCTAGCCGTGATCGTGCTCGCCCCAATAGTCAGCTTCGCGATGATCCCTGGTTTCGTCGGCCGTATGACAGTCGTCTTCCTTGTGGGTCTTGGGAGTGCTGCTGCGTTGTTTCAGTCCGGACTGCTTAGTTCTGTGGCAGAGAATCGAAGCATGACGGATTGGTTGCTTTGTGTGGGAGTTTACGGGGCGGTAATGGCTATAATTGCTGGTATCATTTGAAGACAGGGAGCTTTGTTTATACCGGGATGAGGACTATTGGGAGCTGGTGTTTGGAAAGGAATAATACTCCAGCAGAATTGGTGCGAAAACGCCTAATTTCAGTTGTAGGAGCAGTTACCACTAATGACTGAATGAATAACAAGACAGCAAAAATAGACTTTGTGAGGCAACCTGTTGCCGGTTTACAAGACTGAGAACAAAAAGCAAAAAATATAACCATGGACGAACGGGGAATCGAACCCCGGACCTTTCCCAGGCGGTTATGCGACACAAAGGTTGCATTATGCTAAGGGAAAATTATACCACTAAACCATCCGCCCATTTGCTGATGGATGGATTGAGCTAATTTGGCTTCATGAAGTTTAGTGACAGTGAATTACTGGGGCAAACGCTCCGCTAGATCTTCAACGCCATCTTTCATCCTCGATACAATACGATTAATCTTGGCCTCAAATAACCACACAATGGAATATTCCCTGTAGAAGCTGTTGTATCTTGTCTTTGAAACAATTTGGCTTAGACAAGGCACTCATGCTAGATCTCATAGTCTCCTTTCGGCTTGTGAATACACCTTTCATGCCTCACTGTCACTCCACACGAGCGTACTGCGAAAACACCAAGTCTTTCGGGAGCGGCGCGACGGTGGAAAGAACATATAAAAGCAGTTTCGTGACGCCATCGACATGGTTCAAGCCACCTTCAACGGGTACGTAGCCCACTCTCGCGGCCACATCCGGGCTTTTCGGGCTGCCTGGATGCACCACAGCCATGAGATCGCAAAGCCCCAGCTCGTCTCGAAAGTAACGCAGTACTTCCTTTGCGGATTCAGTAGCGTAGCCTTTTCCTCGATATCCCGGGAGCAGAATCCATGACTGATCCGGAACGAGGCTTCTTTGAATCACGTAGCTGGCACCAATGCATTTTCCCTGTGGAGAGTTTGCCCCGAGCCGTACAAGCCAAATGGCGCCCTGGCTTGCTCAGCCGTTTAGAAACTTTGGTTGAAGACGGCCGTATGAGCGATAGAAGTCAATGGATCCTTGAGCTCTTTTTACGGCATCTTCGGGCGAAAGATCTAAAATCTCTCCCACCATGGTGTTTAGTAGGTCAGTGAACTGTTGCTCGTCGGCGTCTTTGGTGAAGTCGGCCAAGGTTAGAGTGAGCATGTCTGTGTAGAGAGTAGGCGGGAACTGGAAGGCTTCTCCAGACATGCTTGAATGATTCTTGAAATGAAGTTCATGATTAAAGCGCACCCTTTGGAGGAAGAAGCACTAGTAAATACAACTTCTCATGCCAACTCGCTATATGCTTACGTGGAAAGTTGTCAGAATGCTGAGATTTCCAAAAGATAGTCCTGAATAGGGTTAGACAATGAACACTGCGATCGATGAATCGGGATATGCATGTAAGATTGTCACATCGTCTTATTTTGCGCATTTGCTGGTTAATGTTGGCTTTGTCTACCTATAAAACAGCCCAATGCATTTTTTCAAGTTCTGTAAGAGATGTGAAGCACGAATATATGGAGAATAAAGAAGGCGAGGGTCAAAGTAAACGATGCTGGAGCTCGGCCCTTATTGCTTCTAGAAACAACGCTTCTGGAAAATCGTCCGAGCGCACAGGAATAGTTCCAGGCTAGTATCCGCGGAGAGATTCGGCCAGGTTCCTTTTTTTCTTTGTTTAATTGCCATATGGCTCCCTGGTCTCCGGAGATGCTAGCCGCGTGCTACCGTTGTCAATAGTCTTGAGGTGGCCCATAAAATGATGACTTTGATCCTTCGCTCGTACCACCACCTGGGACATGCCATGTTGTACTTGAAGCGTCAAACATATGCCTGTATACGCCTCCTCTTGTGTGTATGTGAAAGCTATTTAGCCGGCTTCAATAAACCTGCGGCAAAGCAACGCGCTCTGCTATCCAATCATTGCTTCTCATCAGCCATATGCAGATTTTGCGTTGTTTCCCGGGTAGGCTGGTGCTTAGTACCTAGGCTAGGTGTGCTGCATCGTTTAATTATCCTGCACACACTTTCTTTTAGTTACTTAGTGATGTGATCTTTAAATGATCCTAGCAAGCGCCTCGTTATCCTAGTGAGGAGACGGCATGTTGAGGAAAAAAAGGGGTCAGCCAATGGCAGCAAAGGGAAATGAGCCAGCCTCACCGTAGCCGCCAATTAAGGCCAATTAAGATCCATTTCGTCCGACGACGCAGCTTGTGATTTTCTTTCAATTTTCTGGTTTCCCCATCCCGTTGGTGCTGTGCAGTGTGCACTACAACCAGCCGGCGCATGTGATAATTCTCCTAGCCGCTCTTAGGCTCTCTACTAGTAGTCTCAATGTTCTACTGTAAGGCTCTGTCAATACCACTGGCGGCACGTACACGCACTTTTGTTCACCAGAGTCATTTCACTGATGTACAAACATCGTGACTATTGTCTAATTGCGTCCCCTGTCTACTTGTCTTATTCTGGTCTCAGCCTGCACATCGCAATTGCTCGCTTGCCTCGCCGGGGTTGCTGCAGACTGAGACACGTGCGGCCAGCCAACTGCAGCTGTCAGAAGGGTGGACCGCTGCATATCCAGCGTTTCATGTGCCAACCGCGCTGATGGTCCAAAATTACAGCAGGCAAAAGCCCACTTGGATAGGCAGCTCAGTGGGCACGGGAGCCGTTGCAGCGCCTGGCCTGCAGCGCGGATCCCTCTGCTCGTGGCACCCCTTGCTGGCTTTGATTGAATTTTCTGGCGATGAAACACGATCCTCCGCTCGTCTCGTCTCGTCTTGTTCTCAACTCTCTTCTCCCTCCCACATCCCTTCGCCGTGGCCGCTAGCAGCCGTCTAGTCGCAACACTACAGCGGTCTTTCTGGGCGCCGTGACCTGCCGCCATGACCTGCTGCCCTCACTCGCCCTCTCGCGGATCGCCTGTGCGACCACTTTAACTCATCAAACCCCTGGGCCGCGATTCATCCCCATCCCCCTGTCCACCCCAAAGTGACGGGGGCGGAGCAGATCCAGCGCGCCATCAAATCAACCGGCGTGCGAGAGCCCCCACAAGTCCCAGCAATGCAGTCAAACCAGAGGCACCAGACGACTCTTCCTCACCGCAGGGCTCCAGTGCCCAAATTGAGCCTCGTCACGTCCCTTGCGTCGCGGCCTAGGAGCGAGGTTCCGCACACAACCACCACTAGCCTTCTGGCCAAGCCACTCATTTTATCGGATCCAAACGCCAGAAGGCCAGAGTTGTACTCGCAGCAGCTACGGGATCTGGCCAGCACGCCCCCGACGGTGACTGCCACGGCGACCCGCAACGTCAATGCTTCGTTTTTAGATGACCCGACGCCAATTGAACCCGAGATGGCCGACCAACACGCGTCCAGAGCGCTGCGGGACTCTCACGACCTCTCGCTGTCGCCCCGCAACATCACTCGGGATTCCCTTGTGAATAACATGCTCTTGTCCCTCGATCAGTTCTCGCTGGGACAGACCACCACTACTTCCCCTTCGGGCGGCTTATTTGGCGGCAAGGCGCTGACATACGACGATCCGAGACCCTGGGCCAACGATACTACCTTCTCACGCGGGAGGGGGGCCAACACCACCGGCAGACACCATTACTCCTACAGCTCAGACTACGACGACGACTCGACGCGCACTTCTGTCCAGATCCCCAGGGCCGACGACCGAAATCGAAGCCGCCGACAAAGAAGCAACAGCAGCAACTCGACCTTCCAGGCACCCTTTCCTACCATCAACAACAACAATAACCCTAGAGACTTTACGCAGCGAACGCATTCAGGGCCTGCGCCGAATGAATACTATTCTCGGGCTCGAGCCGGCACCAAGAGCAGCATCAGCACCAGCGGCAGCACCGACGCGGGATACCCCCAAAACATCGCCGGCCCCTCGAGCTCGGCTCGCGGTGGCTTCAGGCGCTCGGCGAGCTTTGATCTCGGCCCTCCGCAGATGCAAACGCAGCCATTGATGTCCCCGTTCCACCTAGATTTCCCGAACCATCCTGTGTCTGACGATTACGGCGCTGCACCAACGCCCACGATTCCCGGAGGACCACGCCGTGTGCCGTCCAACTTGGCCATCCCTCACACATCATCCCATCTAACCGAATACCAGAGCCTGGAACGCAGTCGCAGCCCGGTTCGTTCCGTCAAGAGCTCCTCGGGACGCACCAGGCGGCCAGTCAACAACCAGTTGGTAGCACCTGCCATGGCTCTAAGCGACTTTGATGCCGCTCCGGCCCCCAGTGTCAGCTACGGGAAGTCTAAAGCAGAACAGCAGATGGCTACCTCGCAGTCTGCTGGGGCACTTTCTCAGCCCAAGGAGCGTCCAGGTTTCTTCCGCCGTGTGTTCGGCTCGTCCAAGGCTGCTCCTGTTCCCGCAGAGACTCCGGCACCGCGCTTGACCAACCCAGTCAACAGCCCAGCCCCTCCCCCCAAAGACATCCAACCAGCACCGCAGTCACAACCTATGCTGCAAAAGAAGCCGTCTTCCTTCTTCCGTCGACGCAAGAAGTCCATTGTAGATGAAGCTCCGCCACTACCAGGCGATGTGCCCCCTCTCCCTCCCCTTTCTGCCGACTTCGATCGACCGGCCAGTCCTGCTAGCAGCCTGAGACAGATCATGAATCCATATCTGAAGGAGAGTGCTTTGCCGGCGCATCCTCTGGGCGATATTACCAATAGAGCGTCGACTTCAGCGGTCGAAGATGATGACGATGACGACAGAGCCGAATTCCAGCGAGACTTCTCCCCTGACTATGTACCAAGCCCCAATGCAAAGATTAGAGCAGTCCAAAATTCTGATTCGGACCAGGAAAAATCATCCATCGACACGGATCATCGCCCGAGCAACGGCCTCAAGCACAGGAACAACTCCTTCTTGGATCTCGACGGCGGCAGTGACAACGACGACTCCCCTATTAAACAAAAGGCAACGACTTCATTGGCAGTTGATAAGGAGAATAAGAACAGGGATTCTACCGGCACTATC